TGGAGTTCCAGTATAGTATACCGGTCCAGCATAATATATTGGAGACTTGAGCATCGGTGCTCCAATCTCCAGTATATTATACTGAAACTTTCTGCGTGTTGGAGTTCCAGCATAATATGTTGGAAGTTCATACACAGGTGTATCGATCTCCAATATATTATGTTGGAACTTTCTGTGCTGCAGCAAAATAGTTGCTATTTTTAAATGACTTCGCGAACGCTGGCTATTTTTGAATGACCACTCCAAAAATTGGCTAGCCCGTGCTATTTGTACTAATCCATCTGATCGGACAATTCAACATGGGCCTTGATTGAACACACGATAATCTAAACACATTAGATAACGCATAAATCATCAAACGAGAACTTACTTGTTCTTCGTGAAGCGGAAGTGGAAAAGGATGAACCACGGTTGGAATAACTGGTCATCGATGGTTGTCACGGTGTGTTGGAGCAACCACCAATTTCATAGTTTAAACCCTAGTTTAATTGTAGGAGAAGACTATGCGTAGAAAAGAATTATTCCTCGGGGAATATAGGGAATATTACTGCTCAGTGTACTTATATAGGGAATATTAAGGTTAACTAATAACAATATTGGGCCTTAGAGCACCCCTTATGGGTGGACCCAATATTTCCTGCATCTCCCACTCACACATAATGGGAGTGCTCATCTAGCCTGAGAAACATATTCTCAACTCATATCCTCAATCATTCATACAGGGAAGTAGACCGTGCGACCAGCATACTGTGAGAGCTAAGTGCTATACATTTGTTAGGAGTATATAGCCTCTCGTCGAGCGCAAACCTGCAAGTAGATCATAGAGTATGTTGTACCCTAGATCATATAAATCACATTTGATATAGTCTCAAAATCTCATATATCATTATTTCTTTTATTTACAATAAATGAGATTCCATCAATAATCTTCCTCTTTTCCCGATTTCCTTAACATTAATATGACTTCTATTCTAGATATGCTCCGCTAGACCGAATCTGTGTTCATGGTCTTTTCGAAACAAACTAAGATAGCTAACATAACACTATGTCTCAAGTATCTGATCGGAGTCTCTAAATGTATGAAATTTTGAGCTATCATAAAATCTCTGGGTCTCACACAACAATAAGTTGAGAATAGACGTATGTTAACCCAATTGGTCGACATTAGCACACATGGTATGAAACATGTGCTACAACATTTTCTCCCTTTTCCCAAGGAGCTTATGTTTTTGTCTCATAAAGAATGTTGTACAGATAATATTTAGATACATAAGTATCTAAATTTGAGTTCTTTGATCTACAATATCATTTTTAACTCACATCTGGCTCACAAAGTAGACTAGGTGAACGTTTTTCACCTTAATGACCTTATGTCATTGTTTAAGCGACATTCTAATTTTAAGCGAATAGCTCTCAAATTACCCTTATGATAATTTTTCTTAAAATCATGTCTCATCGCCTCACAACACTAAGATAAGGAGGCAGTTCCCTGTGTGAGAAGACCACCCTCTTGTCTACCCGACATACTTTTAAAAATATAAAGAATGCACATAACATTCAACGATAAAAATATGTATGTTTGTAAATCGACTTTATTGATAATCGAAGAACATCAGTTTGTGAACACGGGAAAATGAATAACAAAATAAGGTATCTCAGATTCTATGCAAGCCTTGAGACCTCTGTCTCACAAATGCATCTCTAGACAAAGGCTTGGTCAATGGATCTGCTAAGATATCTTTATACACACATACATCACATTTACTACCTTGCGTCTAACCATGTCTCTCGCATAGTTATACTTGATATCTATATTTTTGATTTTGCAATGAAACTTTGGGTCCTTCGTGGAGGATATTGCAGCCTCACTGTCACAGTAGACTAACATTGGTCCAGTATTTTCAGTGATATCTAACAAGTGATACATGAACTTTTTCAGCCAAACAACTTCTTGCGCTACTGATGGGAGAGACACGCATTCGGCTTCAATCGTGGATAGTGATACACCTAATTGTTTCTTACTGCTCCATGATATGGCTCCATCACTGCGTAAGAAAACATATCCTGAGGTAGACTTCCTCTCTTCTAGATCTCATCCATGCCAACATCATTGTAGCCAACTAATCCCAAATCCTTGCCGCCTTGATAACAAAGGGAATAATTAGAAGTTCCATTCAGATACCTCGTGATCCTTTTTACTGCTTGCCAATGTGCTAAACCTGGGTCGGTTTGATATCTACTTAACAAGCCAACATCTTGAAAGATATCAGGTCTAGTGCACACCATAGCGTACATTGGACTTCCGACTGCGCTCCTATAAGGAACTCGACTCATTCTTTCTGTCTCTTCAGGAGTCTTAGGACACAACTGACTCCCAAGGTATGGCCTTTACTGGTAGGAGCTTCAACTTGGCTACTATTTTGCATATTGAATTGTACAAGAACTTTTTTATTGTAATAATTTTGTGAGAGATACGATAGTTTGTTTGGACGATCTCTTGAAATCTTAACTCCAAGAATATATACATTTCACCCATACTATACATCTCAAATTGAGATGTAACCATGACTTTATCTCGGTTATAAACTCCTTATCATTTCCAGCTATAAGTAGGTCATCTACATACAATGTTAAAATCACAAGGTTGTTTCTTGATCTCTTGGTATAAACGCAATGGTCTTCATCCATCATGGTAAAACCATTGGATACAAGAACATTCTGAAATCATATATACCACTGCGTTGAAGATTATTTGAGGCCATAAATAGACTTCAAAAGTCTACAAACCTTTTGTTCAAGGCCCTTTTCAATGAAACACTCAGGTTGTTCCATATAGATTTCATCAAGTTTCCCATTGAGAAAGGAAGTCCTTACATCCATCTAATGTAATTCAAGATCCAAGTTTGCAACAATAGCTAGAACCAGCCGAACAAAGGTAAATTGCACAGCAAGCGAGAAAGTCTCTTCGTTGTCTATTCCTTTCTGCTGTGTATACCCTTTCACCACCAGACGAGCCCTATATCTCTCAACTGTGCCATTAGCCTTGAGCTTAAGTTTAAGAACCTATTTCCTCCCAACTGCTTTGCGTCCTTCGGGGATGTCAACTAGTTTCCAAACTTTGTTGACTCGCATAGACTCAAATTCATTTCCATTGCTTTTGTCCATTTATCATTAGAATGGCATGAGAGAGCCTCTTTTACATTTTTAGGCTCACTTTCTTCTTGTAGGAGCATCACAAATAGTTCACCTCCTTCAACATCAAATCATCGGCGGAGAATCTTTTTACGAGAACCACGTCTTATTTATGATTCATTATTGTTCCCATTTGGGTCGATGTTTCTCCTACTCGAATCAAGATCATTCATCCTGCTCCAACTTGGAACAAGATCTGTGACCATCTTGCTCCCACTTGGAACAAGATCCATTTGGTCACTTCCACTAAACGTAGAAGGATTACTCTCATTCACATCTGATGATGAATGAGGTCTTTGATGAGAAACTAATTCTTCATCTGCTAAAATTCTCCCACTCGAATTTAAGTGATACTTGTACTTCTTGATCCATTATCTCAAATAAGGTTAGGTCTTGACCTACCTCTCCCTTCTTAAGGAACTCATCCTCTAAGAATGTGACATCTCGTGATTCAAACGCAGTTATACTCCCACTGTCTTGCTTACCTATGAACACATAACCTTTTGAGGTTTCAGAGTATCTTATAAAGATACTCTTCTTTCCCCTCGGGCCTAATTTGCTATATTAGTGAGAAGAATCATGTGTATAGGCAGCACAACCCCAAGGTCTTAATACACTCAGGTCGGGTTGTCTTCCAGTCCATAACTCTCATGGAGTAGTAGTAACTGGTTTTGTAGGCACTGGGTTAAGTACAAAGGTGGCAGTAAGAGATGCATCACCCTAGTAACTAATTCGAAGGTTAGCTTGTTCTCGACGAGACGACATTAGAAAATATTAGGGTTAACTAATAATCCTATTGGGCACCCCTTATGGGTGGACCCAGTATTTCCTATAGGCCTTAATCGGAGTAGCATGTTCTATCTGATTGATGATCAATAACAATAATATGATAATGTTTCAAACCACATTGGATGATAAATTAACAAACACACTCATTTCTCTAGAAAATGTGAATTGAAAAGGATTTTAACTTATAAACGCCGAGGGTAAGAATATATATATAGGTTTTTTTCATAAGTTGTATTATGCAATGTAGGTTTTTCTTTTTTTGGAATTTGATTGTGGCTTGTCCTTCACTACAAAAAATCTGCCTTTTAGTGGTCGCTACAAAATCACCATATGTCGCCACTAAATGTTTATAGTACTAACACTGGACTTGCTGCAAGTGAGTCCATTATTAAATATTATTTGTGATGACTACATGTAATCGCCACAAAATGGTGATATTTGGTAGCGACATTATTGCGACAAAAGGTATGCCAAATCGCCACAAAAAAGTACTTCAACCAAACTGATTCAGGTGCAAGTCGCCACTGAAGAGTGACATTTAGCAGTGACAATTGTTGCCACAAAAATAAATATGTATCACTGGCAGCTACTTTATCGCTACTAGAGACTTGCTTTTAGTAGCAACTGAAGTCGGCACAAAAACAATTAGCTATTACCAGCAACTCTCATATCGCTACTAGAGAGTTACTTTTATGAGACATTATTGTCGCCCCAAAAAAACTTAACTATCAGTGGCAACTCTAATATCTCTACGAGAGAGTGGCTTCTAGTAGCAATTGAATGTCGCCAAAAAAGCATTAAACCATCAGTGGCGACTATGAGCTCGCTGCTGGAGAATGACCTTTAGTGGAGATGATAATTGCTACAAGAACTATTAAACAATCAGTGGAAACTTCAATATTGCAACAAACACTTTTTTGAATAAGACTTTGTCACCATTGAAACCTATTTAATTCGGCAACTATTATGACCAAAATTATTTTAACGTACCCAATAGTATTTTACAAACAGCAAAAGAATTTCTTAAGTCGGATTTTAAATACTTCTGTTACTAAAATGTGAATTACATATATAATGCATAATACTTCATTCTCATTGTATGCATATACATCCCAAAAGAACAAAATACTATGTGCCTTGGAGCCCATCCTTGGTTGTCTCCATTGTTTAAGAACCTCGTCCCTGTCAATACACGACAAAGTCAGGACATATTTTACATATGGAATAACAAGGCTGGAACCTAGATAAATATATGAACTAATAAGACTAAGAAACAAATTCATTTTAAGATTATGGAAATTTCAGATGACCAAAAACTTTAAAATGAAAAATTAAGTTGTCTAAGGGGATATCATCAAAACACCTTGGCTATGATAAATAGACGATACGGAACTTAATGACTCCATTTATCTGTTTTAGTTTGTCTAAGTTATTTTCAATTTAACACTATAAATTGATTAATTATGTCATTTATTAAATTAATTAGCAGAAAATAATAAGAATTAATTCACCACCGGTAGAGACATGAAGAAGCTCAAACAATGGAGCGCTATATGAAAACAGATATATATCGCAAAGACGATGAAAAACATAGAAGGAATGATGAACAAAATAAATGAATTAACATCTTAAAAATGAATCAAATAAATCCTAGTGCTTTTCACTTCTGATATCTTTCTTATTGTATATCTCAAAAGAATTTTCACTGATCTCACTAACTAAAATTTTATCTGGTGAAGATTTATGAATCAAATAGAATTTTGTCGAAACATATCAGGAAAAATAACAGACACATAGCAACAACGTCTCATTTCATCATTTTGAGAGGAATTCCAAACATGCAATCACCAAAAAGTTCATAATTTTACAAAAATTAAAAATAACTTACCCAGCGAAAGAGAACGTCAACACCGAGAAGGGCTTTACACGATGATATTATTGGAAAAATTACTTTTTACCCCCTGTAGATTTCGTGCGAGTTAAAGAAATTAGAGGTAAAATAGATGAAATAGTCACTCTCGCTAACTACATTTAACACCCAAAAGGATTTGGGGTTTGAGTAATTGAGAAAACAAATGGTGTTAGGGCTTTTGGGTTTCACAAATTAGGTTCATATCTTGCGATTAAACAAAAGTGAAAAGTTCAATTTGAGAAATTTGATAAAGTAATGGAGCTTTTGCAGAGAGAATCGAGAAGAGGGACAGAGAAAGTGGAGCTTCGGTCTTCTTTTCTATAGAGCTTTTTAGGACTTAGTATTTTAGGGCCTTTTATCTAGCTTTTTATTTTTAAATGTCAGATATTTTCACTATTAGAGGCAACCTAGTCACCCCAAAAATACCTTTAGAGGCGACTCTCTATTATTTGTCACTAAACATTTGGAGCCAAATTTCTGATCATAGCGGGAACTAACAATTCAGGATTTAATGGCACATATTAGAGGCGACCTGCAAAAGTCATCGCTGAAAGTTTTTATTTTGTAGCGACTTATTAGGTCGCCACCATAAATATACCATTTGTAGCAATAAAAGATGTTGCTACTAAATATCGCCACTAAAAAGACATATTTCTTGTAGTGCTTGTGTGGGGCACTTACAAAATGTTTTGAGGGTAGGTGTGAGGCTTACGCCCCAAGCGCCTGATTGTGTGCTTTAAACGCACTTAACGCTCAATGCTTAGGGCTCGCCTAACAGCTCTTACACGAACATGAGCCGAATTCCCTAAGTAGCATGTTTCCTAAACATTCTTTAACAATGAATGATAAAACATTTAATCATCAATAGATATATGAAGATTGAGCATAACTCAAATAATGAACCATGATAGTGCAAATTTAATAATTGAAAATATCGTTAGAGTGAATATCATTTGATAATTTCTTTTGAAAATAGATAGACAAAATTTATTTTTATTTTTTTGGTGGAAAAGATAGACATATTATAAATACTTAAATATTTACATGAGAGTTTGTAGTAGGATGGTGGTCTTCATGTTGTAGGGAGGTAAAGTATGTAACTTGAAGATATTTTCTGTAAAATTATAATTTTTCTAATTGTTTGAAAGTTAATACTTTGTAGTTGATTTGTATTTCATAATAATGTTAATACTACTACTCTGTTTGCACTTTTAAAAGATGCTACTACTTTTAATGAATTTTCTATATTTTTTGTGTTATTATGCTATTTTATTAATAAATAGGATTTACGCCCCGCCCTACTTTAGGTAAAACATCTGCCTCACACACCCGTTATAATACTGATAGCATGTCTGTATACGGTAGGAATCGGGGCTATCCGATTTCGTCCCTCGATGGAAAAGTGATACCACATCGGAAGACCAGGACGTTGAGCTCGGGGTTGAAATTTCAATCTAAGGTCGAGGTCGATAACACTTACCGAGATCAAAAGAAGGCATTTTCAGTTCACGGGGGCTGCCAAGTCAGAGGTGTTGCACTGGCAGGCCTACGCCTCTCAAAGTCCTCCCACCAAGTAAGAGCATCCCCCGTGAACTGAAAAGTGGTAAATGCCACACCACTCGACTCAAGGATCCCTGCCGTACGGAGCATACGCTGACATCTGTCAAGAAAACTCTGGGCATCCTCGCCCTCAGCACCATCGAATGTCGGAGGCTGGAGCCTACCAAACCTCTCGAGACGACGCTGCTCATCGTCTGGCATAGCTGGAACCACGAAGCCCTGAACTGGTGCAACCTGCTGAGCTGGAGGTGCCTCTAGTGTCTGTAGTCCCTGCACCACCTGCTCAGGTATGCGAGCAATGGGGGTCTGATTGCCTCCCCGACCTGTTAAGTAGCTGTTGCTGCTGTGGTGACTGAAACTGCCTGAGCCAAGCCAGTGCAGACTGATAATATCTGTGCCAAGGTCTCCTGAAGACCCGGAATAACGATAGGCACAGCTGGTGCCTGAACAGGTGTTGCTGGAGTATCCACAGCTGGAGCCTGATCCTGAGCTGGGGCAATTGGTGGATCAGCAGGTGCTGCCCTGGCTGCTCTGCCTCTGCCACGACCACGACCGCGTCCACGGCCTCTGGCAGCCTCAGTAGGTGGCACTAGTGGTCGTCCGTCACGTCCGGTAGCTTGTGTCCTCACCATCTGTGAGAGGATCGAATAATAAAAGACTAGTTCTCAGTTCAACAAGGCCGCACGACAAGAGTTTAAAGAATGTGGAGTTTTCCTAAAGGTTCTGCAGCCTCCCAAGAATAAGTACAGACGTCTCCGTACCGATCCACGAGACTCTACTAACCGGCTCATGACTCGCGAGACCAAGTAACCTAGGCTCTGATACTAACTTGTCACAACCCCAACCCCGGTCGTGATGGCGCCCAACACACTGCTAGGCAAGCCCGACCAATTAAATAACCTTAACCATTTTATCCAGTTCATGAATTAATTAACATAAATAATTACTAAGTCAAAATACTTAAATCCGGGAATAGAGTTAAACATGCGAAAATCCCAAAATATAAAATAACTACACATCCCGAAGAATTCGGTGACACAAGTCTGAGCCTCTAATATATGAGTATCAACCTACTACATATCGTTCTCTAGAAATGCGGAAATAAAAATAATATAGAAGGAAGATCAGGACTGCAAACGTCAAATGCAGCTACCTTGAAACTCCCAAATATGATGCTAGGCAGAGAAGTCCTCACTCAGCCTCAGTAGTACCTGGATCTGCACGCAAGGTGAAGGGATTAATGTGAGTACTCCGACCCAGTGAGTAATAAACATAAATAAAGGCTGAGAATAAGAAATCCTGAATAGGCACAAAGTAATTCTATAAATACAGCAACATGAACCCAGTAGCATAAAATCAATAAATCAATGAAAACAATTATAGAAATATCACAACAGATAAATAACTAAATGACAATCAAAATATGCAATGCAACACATATACCGGTACTCTCCAGTACCCGCTGCAGCGTGCAGCCCGCTCCATTTATTTATCGTCGACGGCGCTCACTGGGGGTGTGCAGACTCCGGGAGGGGCCCCTTACGGCCCGACGCAATAATAAGCCATATCGTGGCATCAACTAGGCCCTCAGCCTCATATCAATATCAATATCATACCGCTGCGGCGCGCAGCTCGATCCCATACTCAGTCCAAAATCACATAAGCCTCTCGGGCACATTAATATAGTAATATTTAGCCCAAACTCCATTTAAAAATATTAATTAAGTTTCTAGTTTGAGAAAAGCGGCTGAGTTTGCAAAACAGTATTAAATTCTAGGACTAAGTTCAAAGATATGTAGAAATGGTAAGAAACCAGTAATAACAATCCCTGAAGGATTTAATCGATTGGCACGAAGCCCAAATATAGCAAGCAGCTCAATTAAAATAAAAATAAGTGAATTTCAGTAAAATACGCAGTATGTTCATCAACCGGGACGGACCAAGTCACAATCCCCAATGGTGCTCTACCCCATGCTCGCTACCCGGCGTGCAAGTCACCTCAATATAGCACTACGATGTGTAAACACAGGGTTTCAAACCCTCAGAACAGCATTTACATCTATTACTCACCTCAAGCCGGCCAAAATCCTAGTTCGCTATGCCCTTGCTTCTCGAATCGACCTCCTCGCGTGCCGAATCTGATCAAAATCACAACGAATACGTTACAATATGCCAATGGAACAATACCCAAGCAAAAACAATCAAAAAATAGCTGAAATCTCGAAATTAGCAAAACCCGAGCCCCGGGCCCACTTCTCAAAAATCAGAAAATTTAACATCAACGGATTCGGTATCTCGCCACGAGTCTATGCGTGTAAAGATTACCAAAATCGGAGTCCAAATGACCCCTCAAATCCCCATTTTAACTCTCTTATGTTTCAAGCCCTAACCTCCATTCTAACTCCTTATTTCCTTGGTTTTTCAGTCTAAATTCACAATAAAAACGTGTTTTTAGTTCATAGGACTTACCTCCAATCAATCCCCATCGAAATCCTCTTCAATTCCCGTCCAAAAGCTCTCAAGGTTGCTCAAAAATGGTGGAAATAAGACTTGGTTCGCGGATGAAATATTTAATAAAACCCTTCTGTCAGCTCACATTTAACTCTATGCGAACGCGAGGGTCCACTCGCGTCCGCGATGAACAAAATTGCTTCTGACCAAAAATAGCCTACGCGAACGCGTACATCTCCATGCGAACTCGAAGGGCAGCTGCCCTGGGACCCAATTCCTTTACGCGAACGCGGACCTTCTCCCGCGAACGCGAAGCATGATCACCTAACCCTCCGCGATCGCGAGTCCTCCAACGCGAACGCGAGGGTCAAAAATCCTATCCCTCAAATTCCTTCTACGCGAACGCGATGACCCACACGCGTTCGCGAAGGCCAATAACCTGCTGCACTGACTGCAGAATTTCTGCAACATTTTTCCAAGTTCAAACCTCCCGTTAGCCATCCGAAATCACCCCGAGGCCCCCGGGACCTCAACAAAAAGCAGCAATGCATCCTAAAACATCATTCAAACTCGCTCTAATCATCAAAACACCTCAAATAACACCAAAACCATCAAATTACATCGGATTCAAGCCTAAGTTCTTCTAAAACTTCCGAAATACGCATTTGATCAAAAACCCAACAAAAACACCTCCGAATGGCCATTTTGCACACACATCCCAAATCACCTAATGAAGCTACTGCAACTCTCGAAATTCCATTCCGACCCTCGGATCAAAATCTCACCTATCAACCGGAATTCGCCAAAATACTAACTTCGCCAATTGAAGCCTAATTCTACACCGGACCTCCAAAATTACTTTCGATCACACTCCTAAGTCACAAATCATCCCCTGAAGCTAACCGAATCATCGGAATTCATATTCGAGCCCTCTAACACAGAAGTCAACGTCCGATTGACTTTTTCCAAAACAAACCTTCCTTAAAGAGACTAAGTGTCTCATTTCCTTCTAGAACCAATCCAAATCAACTCGTTCACACCCAACACTGATAATGAAGCATAAAGAAATAGAAAATGGGGCAAACGGGGCCGTAACTCACGTGATGACGGGTTGGGTCGTCACATATATAAAGGGAGATCCCATTCATTTGTAAGACACATCGTTCTCTGATAAGAAAATATATACATGTTACTCTTTTCCTATTTCACTTATTGTTCATCAAGAGTTGTTTTATAATTTGTTAATCCCATTACCATACCTCGAGATTGTCACAGATCGAAGTCAAGACTTAGCTTACACGCTGGTTTGATTTATTTTTTTCTT